GGCCAGGGGAAGATTAGAATTGGTTTTCTCATCGTGTTAGAGCAAGCAGGGCGGTTCGTCCAGCAGCGCAGAGAAGAAGCTCGCTGGTTTGCTCCCCGTGCGTTTCCTTCAATGGTGATTAAGAGCCTGACGTTAAAAGATCCCTCAAGTTTTCCGCCCTTCACTACACCCATGTCTACGGCTCGCTCCCTCTTCCCCCTCGTTTCCCCCGGAGAGAGGGGATTACTGACAACACTGCTGCGCGCAAATGGCACTTGCTCAAAATTAAAAGACTTTCACAGGCTGCTAATCTAATAACGGTGGAAAAAAGGGTGGCAGGGAATGAGTGAGCCGCCCCCCAAAAAGGACAGGAGCGGATTTTCCTGTTTACCCCCAAAACGCTGAAAAAGAAGCTGCAACTAAAACAGCTCAGAATGTCCTGGGAGAAAGTCCAAATAAGAGCCGTGGACCAGGCAGCGGAGCGGGAAGGCGTCTAGTTGTGACATTTGAGCAGACTGAAAGATTCAGACTCATCATCATAAAGTTTATCAACCTGAATCATCTCAGGCGGAGTAACACTGCCGACAATGAACTGGATGTGAAGGAGGAAGGTGCGAAAGGCCCCAGGCTCTGTTTTCCAACTATAGGCTCATTGTTATAGCTTTATGCATTTCAAATTAGCATGCTTTCGTTAGCAGGCCTCTCACTTTGCTGATCGTACACCTAGATTCCTTCTCTCTGGGAAAATATCTCAGGATACAAACGAAATCCTCTCCAATCAAAGGCCCACTTGGTGGAAGTTTAACAGAAATCTGGGCTCTTTGAAAGGAAAATATGTTATATGCAGCATTAAACCTGAGAAAGGAGAGAAGCGGCTCTTCTTTTGAACACAGATATCTGGGAATGGCCATCTCCACAGAGATTGCTATGCTTCGGATTAGTCCTTAAAATAACTGTACCATGGGTGGTTCTAGACAGGGGCCAACGGGGGGCCAGTGCCCCTGTAGATCATGTCCTGGCCCCTGTTATAGCTCCTGTACTGAAGACATAATACTCAAAGAAATTCTAATGATGATATGCGCTAGGGGTGGAACGGT